GTCGAAATCTGGACTTCATCCCTTGGAAGACGAGGCTGGGATTTGTTCAGCAGTAGGAGACGCAGAACGTCTTGTTCACCAGCACGTCCTGTCTGCCCGCTCCAGCGGCCTGTGAGGTTGGGAGGGTATGATGGAGACGAGGATCACTGCTTGCTTCATTGCTTTGATGGCGGGTTTTACGGCAACGAGCCGCGGTCTATGTGCCGATCACGTACTTCTAACATTTCTTCAGAGCATCTTTTTAGTCCTTTATCCGCGAGGGAGACAAGCAGTGTTTCCCCCTAAATAGGGCTAATAAGACATCCCAGACGAATTCTGAACTCCGCTACGGGTCACGGTTTTGTTTAGTGGGACAACGGTTCTAGCTATCATGGCTAGCTACATGGCCAGTGGATGTTGAGGTTGATTTCCTGTAATCGTATGAATTCAACTACAAAATAGCGGATGCAAAGCGCCTGACATCCCTTATCAAAAATCCACCCGTGTTAGGTAAGTTGTTTTCACCAACCGAGATTGTTCCAATATTTTCCCGCCGAGATCGTGTTTCTGCGCATTTTGAAAATGCAAAAATTATCTGTTATCATGATCCCATCCTTATGGAGCGTAGAATTGGGTCACCTTTCTCACGTAACACCTCTTCGTCTCAGGTTGATGCCCACAAATTCGGTCATAATACCCGTACTCGTGAGAATTCAGTCGACCATACTCCTGAAAATCCGACTCCCTGTCCCTCCCCTTATCCCCTTATTTCTACACCTCCCCCTTAGTCAAACCACTTAACGCCTTTACCTGCCTAGAAATCAGCAGCAGACTCCGTCGTCGTTCCTAGTCCTCGTGATAATCCTTCTAGAATGCCCGGAAGTCCGTCGTCATCTGCTTGATTGATAGCTTTTCCACTTCAGCAGGATCCTTCGAGCTCTCCACTAAAGTCCCCGGTGGCATGGAGTCAGACTGATATGATCCAAAACCAAATCCGAATCCGACCAAAAGAAGGATAGCATAATTCTATTTAGTGGTATGCCCCTTGGATTTACTAAGCCTTCACAACCGAGCTCGTCTATAAACTCCGTAGTTACATTTATTACTCTAAATAATTATTTGTTCTTGTTATGACCCGGCCTGGTCATAAATCACGCAAAGAGTGTACACATTCGACGGTTGTTCCCAATACCAACACGGCAGAAAAGGAGAACACGGCCGGCCACGAACAAATGTATTAGGAATCTGCAAATCGTTCCTACTGATAGGATAACGCCGCTTAAGGCCAAACTGTTCCCACGTAAGTCAACGTAACTCCTCTCACCCCCATCCCAGACCTGTTTTCCCACCATCTAATTTTTATGGCTAACCGCCCTCCTTCATTAGTCTCTATCTTCCTTCTAGGCCCTCTCCCCCCAAAGTTAACTACCAACAAGCCTGTCCCTGTTCCAACTCTTACTATTCCGGTGTCAAAAACGATATCCATACATATATTCTAGGTCTCCTGTCCAGCCATTTCTTGCTGACTCATCATATGTCAGTAACTCTGGATTCACTGTCACTTATTCCTTAAATAACAAAAGTATACAGCTTACATATCCACCTCCAATTTTCTTCTTAAATACCATCGACAACAGCCCTGTTGCTGGAAAAACATTTAATATTACATTACTAACCTATACAAACAAGCTTACTCTACTACCTCATGCAGAGAAGATCTCTGCTAAGTAAAGTTAAGACTTTATGAAATGTTTGTTCTTCCCGTTCTCGAGTACTGATGTCCTTTCTTTGCTTTGATGAACGCCCGTGACCGTAATAATATATAAAATGTTCGAGAGTTTCTATTCGAAAAGTCTTCTCTCAAGCGGCATCCGACATTTCTTATACTGAGAGATGTCAGCT